GAGGGCGCCTGAGAAGCTCGTCGCTGGTCAGGAACGCCACAAGACGAGGGGTGTCAACGATTCGCCGTTGAACATCGAGCACGTCGGCTCGAGGAATTTTGGAATTTAAGCAAACGTTACGGGAATCATAGTAGAGAAAAAGAGAGAAAATTTATTACGCTATGATATATACTCCTCCCTCTATATTTGATTCCGTACGAATATAGAATATTTTTATAAAACATTCCATAGTGTCATCAATACTGTGCCAAATATTTTTGACAAATTAATACATTGTATGAATGAAGGATATACGTGAAAAAGGTTTTTTTATTTCAGTATTGTACAAATTATACGAACAGATACGTTTTTTCGAATAGATTACAAGCTAAATCGGATTAATAATATGGATAATAACATATTTATTGAATAAATTGTGAAGAAATTAATTAAATTAATGCTTTTATAAAATTAAGGTCACACTGCATTTCAGAAAAAATAAAAATTGTGGAAACAAAATGAAACATCAATTAAAGTGAATTTGTTCAATGAATATATCAAATTCAATCCAATGAATAATCAAAAGCTCGAATGGTTTCAAGGAGACAAAAATAGAAAATGAGACAGTGTTAAAGATAAGTATACACTGAAAAAAAGATTGGTTGCTGCAACAATTTGGATAGTAAAATATAACATAGCATTTTTAATCGGCTGCAGCAACCAGTTTTTGGTTGTAGCAGTAAACTTTTAGTTGCGTTAGCCTATCCGCAATGTCAATATATGATTTCGATAGGCTAACGCAACTAAAAATTTGCTGCTACAACCAAAAACTGGTTGCTGCAGCCGATTAAAAATGCTATGTTATATTTTACTATCCAAATTGTTGCAGCAACCAATCTTTTCTTTCAGTGTATTATCATTATATGTAGGAAAAGGAAAGTGAGAAAAAAGGGGGGAAGAACGAGAAGGCAGGAAGGCAAGCAACAAGGAAAGGAGGGAGAAAGGGGAAGACCTCCATCTCAATTATGTATTCATAGCTAGAAAAGATATAACGCGCATAAGGGTGGTGGTAGAAGTCAATAGAAATGAAATATCAACATTCTAGGTCCCCCATCGGTCCTACCATCCTCTTCCAGCCGTTTCTCCAATACGAGATCTAAAGTGTTTTTCGATATCTCGAAAAATTCTGCCGCGCCACGGCGCGCGTTTCCCGTCTTGGTTTTATTTCTTCTCTCCCGGGTGCAAGGCCGATTGCATGTGCGCTAGTAATATACGTAACTACCTTCTCAAGCGTGTATCTCACCGGCGAAAATCGGTGGTGGACCCGCGCCGTGCCTCGAAGGAAAATACAATCGTAACTTCGAATATTTCTTATACGATACGATATATGAATGCTATCAGATAGCAGTAAATATTCATTCAAAAATACCTTATCGTACGCAGCAGATGCGGAAATTCATATTGGAATACATGAAGACCCATATTTATAACCGTCACGAATTATACGCATTTTGTATCAGATGTAATATTTAGTACTTTGAATGATATCACGCTACATCAATATGATAATTAACCCTTACCGTACCACCTACAATTTGGTGCCTCATCCATACCATCAAGGGTCATTTCAAATCTCTTCGTTTTTTCACCTCTTCAAAAATAATTTAAAAAATCTCTAAAAATTCATCAACATACTTTCAACTTTCTAGAATAAATATTGACTTTTTATTTTGGAAAATAATAAAATGTAGTATAAATTATAATTACCGAAAGGCTCAAAGAAACTTGCACGAACAGGAATCGCTCGGTCACTAGTTACTCATATTAGTACGGTAAGGGTTAACAGGCACATTCGCGTAAACCCGTATTTTTAATTTGTCAATTGTGGAATACATAAATTCAGAATTTCGAATCATAGAGTTTCGTACTTTTTCAATATGCTTTTTTACATTTAGTCTTCGTAATCCGTAAAAGTTGAATACAATTGACCTTTGATCAAAGTCTGACCATTGAACTATCTCAAAGTAGAAACTTATAATAAAGTTTCTACCTTGAGATAGAGAGTTTAATGATCACACTTTGATCAAAGGTCAACTGTGAGACTGTATTGAACTGAATATGAAAATACAAAATTACTATGAATTGTATATAATATATCTCTGTAAAATGTTATATTTATTCATTTCATGGTTGTCATCGCTCGATGCCTTCCAGGCCTTTTCCTCCTCTCAGATTCATTCGTCATATCCACAATACTCTCGAAAACAGAGTTAATTACGATCACGTGCGGTAATCACCAGAATAATCGCATAGCACTTTGTGGCATTCCCGACGTTAATTACACGCAACGCGTATTTTACTATTACGGATTACAAAGTTAATAAAAAAAAAATATGAAACTCTATAATCTGAAAATGCTGAATTTTTATCCAGTTGACAAATATTAAAATAAGTGCTTATGACTGTATTTATTAATTAAATGTATCGTGATATCGTTCAATTAAAAACCATTTATGACAGAAAAGTTAAAAAATAACGTTTTAATACGATATGATGCCATTAATTAAATCAAATTGATGATCATCCAAAATTGTAAAGTTGAAATATAATATTGCAACATACAAAAAAATCTTTGTATTATAGATAACTAATATATCACGGTTTTCCATTACGTTAATTAATTAATCCAGCGATTCGCGTGTTACTCCGTATACTCTCAATTTGAAAGTGTTGAGTGAAGTATGTTTAAGTCAACAAAAAATTCAGACCGTGATATGGGACATTAGAATCTAATAAAGTTTTCGGCTGCAGTGAATTTGGACTAATTCAGGATCGATTAATCCGAAAGGGTCATGAATTAGTGTAATCAGAAATCAAAGTAGAGAGCATGTGACGTCATCAATTGACCCCGGATCGATTCAAACACACTGCAGTACGTTATAGAAATTATTGTCCGTACAAATAGCATAATAAAATAAGTTATAATCGCACGAAATATCTGCTCTTATAAATAATAAATGCAATTACAATTATCGATTGCCAGAGTTAATTAATTACGTCGATTGTAATTATGAAATGTTGTTGATAGTAACTAATTATTCGTAGAAAATAATCGCGTGTGGCATCTCAAGTTAATGTTCTGTTTTTCCTACTTATTATTTCTCATAATTTCTAACTGTTTCTAATTAATTATTAATATACGATTGGCATAGTAATTATATACACGTATAGTAATTATAACATTATCATTTTTCTTTTAAACTCTTCTCAAAAAATGTTGCAAGATTCAAACACTGTTAACAAATTATTTTCTTTTAAAAAGTTATTGAACTATGAAAAATAAAGTTGCGTATCTTAAGATAAACTTCGTCTGAATTTCTCAATCGAATTATGATAACAAATAATTTTAAGACAAATGTTTAGCTTCTCTTGAATCTTCAGAGGAAAGCGATAATAAATACGAGCCTTACAGAGAAAAAAAATTGTATAATATTATGAAAACTAAGGACTGAAAACTAATCTTTCTATTATTCTTATCCCTACATTGCGTTCAAGAGCAAGAACAGAATATTCCTATTATTTGTGCAAATATTACATTTTCAGGAAAATAATCTCTTAAGTTTTTATTACTACAAATAAATTCGTGAATAATAATATTATCATTCTTGATTTTAAGAAGTTTAAAGAGTTATGGGCAATCGCAAGTTAAGCCATCGACGAACTTCTGGTTTGAATATGGGATTACAGGTACGTGTTCGTCGATCGATATTATCCGCGTATTGTATAACAAATGAGACGCGGGACAACAATGTTATCCGATGTGCAGAATACGACACCAATTGCGTGAAAAAATGATAATCGGCTACCGATGGCTATTCAAAGACGTGTGTGTCGCAAGATTCTATCTCGTACATTCCTACATAACGACATAGCAGCTGCTGCACATCGCAATACTGAGGATGGCAGGCAAAGTCCGTTCGCAATTGCTCCATTGTTAGACCATTTAGATATGTTTCATTGGTAGAGACGTGCACGAAGGAACGATACCTTGGTCCTTTGGAAATTGCGTTCGTATCCTCTTATGCATGCACTCGCCACGAGAATCGTGCAAAGCATGCAATCAATGCATTAAATAAGCTCCTACATTTAAATCTAATGTGGCCTGGTTCCTTTCGTAAGTCTTGTACTTTAGTGTAGTTTTCTCAATCCATTACGAAGTTACTACGTTCTCGTAAAATGATTTCTACGCCGCGAGTATGTCGAATAAATCAAGAGAAAGAACGTAATTGAGGATTCCATGTTCAAAATGGTCCTCTATTAGTCGTGATTTATGTTGAATTGTCATGGAAAGTCGAAACTATGGAAGTAATATAATGTACGAGATAATTGAGGTTTTCTAATACTGACGTAACATTAATGCTATTGTGATTAAACCGAGCATAAAGGTAATGCAACATTTTTGCGTAAAGTATTTCTTAATAACACGAGACATATAAAAATAAGCTGCTTTACTGCTATTATCATTAGGGGCAAAAAAACCGATATATTTTGCTCCTAATGATAATAGCAGTAGAGCAATGATATTTTAAAACAGATATGCTAATTACACACACGTCCCTAATTGCAAACGTTTTACTATTCAGCATCTCGCTTTATTATTCAGTATTTAAAGTACATAGGTAAATTACAGTTAGTAGGGTAATTCACGATCGATGGAATTATCTCTTTCAAACGACCTACTCGTGTTAATGGCGATACATAATAATGATATATACTGACTTGATCTAAATTAATCACCAAATAAAAATACAATGTTACGTTAACGTTACGTTAATAACAGTGTATTAATATCGGTTGCCACTTGACAGAAACAGCACTTGTAAACTCGTGTAAGCGTTCCAGTTTCGTTTCGCAAATGAAAGGATGGAGGGACGAAGCGACGGAGGCTCGAGTTTTCTCTTTTGCGCCTCCTAAATCTTAAACAGAGACAAATGAAGCTGCGAAGTCTAGGCGCGACTTACCGTTAGGAGGGAACTCGTAGAAGAACGCAGATCTCGGGCTCAGACAACTGGAACAGAGGAAAATTACGGTTAAAATATGCTAACAATTAAAGGAACGGCGCCGCTTGGCACGCCGCCCGGCGTCTACGCGCTTTTCCGCTCCGTTTCCCATTCGTTTTCATCCGCGACGATATTTCGCCGTGGTGCCGCCAGTTACCGAACAAACACACGGTCAATATACATCGAAATGATGGGTATCGATGTTAAGCGTAATAAAGCGATTGGTCGTCGGGATTTAATACTTCCTTTGATACGCGAAATGGATCGGTCAGCGCGCATTTCGATTTCGATACTATTACGTGCCGATAATGAATTTACCAGTGTTTAGGGAGTTAATTTCAATTTAGTTAGTGCGTATTATTTCAATTTAATACGTATTACAGTAGTGCGATTTGGTTCCTCGCTTGAATTTAACGCAGTCATTTGCGTAATACCTAAAATAACGTAGTACAGATAGCATGCGGAATACCTTCCTAAGTTCATGAGAACTATTTTCACAAAATACAAGAAAACAATCCGATTTTTAAAAAATAAAGAAAACTATTTGGCATTTTGCATAAATTGTGATATATTTTATAATTCAAAGTAATTTTTTTTTGGCTAATAATGCGAATTATGTTGAAGTTCGTAAGTTCCAATTCATACACGATAAAAGATATTTTCTATTTGTGTGTATGTGTGTGTGTGTTAGAAACGATTTACTCCGAACAATACAATACTAAAATTTTGTGTCAAATTTTTAATATATTCGAGTGATAATTTAACACACGATTGTGTTTGAAACAATTAAAATTTTCTGTTAAATTGATGTTCAATATTTCTTAGTGTTAAAATAACACAATTTTAAAATAAGTAAACAAATAACATATAAATAATATTTTTTAAAACGTTATAAGATAAATGAATAAAATATGTTAGTGTTAATTTTAATGGAGAAATATGATTGTTTATAAATTGTGTCAGTGTTTATGTACTAATTTTTCATATAACATTTGTGTTACAACATATTTATCTTGTGTTAAATTAACTAAAAAAATTGAGTAAACCATTTGGGACACTCAAATTGAAATATGTTAAATTTAATGCAAATTTTCCAATTGTATATTAAAGGCGACAAGATTCGTCATTTACATTTCTTAAATAATACTTCATTATAATAATGGAAAACAAAGGTTGCTCTGTTCCATACAGTTTCGATCTCCCTACGGGCATCAAATTAGGTACTGATAGTCAAAGGTAACATTATACATGCGGTTTAACAAACCCGCAATTGTATGTACCGAAATTATAGAATTGTCATTAATATAGGTTTCCGTGGCGATATACGTGGTTTACATAACCGTATATTGTCCGCCGAATATTCACGTAATTTTTTTCTCCTCTCTCTCATGTATAATTGTCTATGTCTATGTCTGACTATCATGAACAAAATACTGAAAAGTGATTATGTGACTGTTAATGAGTGCGATGTATGTGTACTGAAAAAAATTTCTGATTGAAAATTAATTAACTAGAAGATTCTGATCTGTATAAATCAGAATCTAGTTTCCTCAACTATAATTATAATAAAGTTAACCAGAAAATATTGATTGTTTTTTTCATTTTCAATCAGAAATTTTCTGAAAAAAAGAATCCAGTTGCATTAATTGGAATTCTGATTCCAGAAAATGTAATGTTTATAAATTAAAAGTAATGTTTAATAAAATCATTACGTGCTTATATTGTACTCAATAATAAAATGTCTTTACGTAAGATAAGAACAGTAAGCCGATATTCACGTTTTAACTACAAGATCGTCTTACTTAACGTTTTAAGGGGAGGTTCTAGTCTAGAGGTTCAAAATTTATATATTTTTTACTAATTTTTTTCATAAAGAAAGGAAGAGATATCAAAATAATGCTTTTTGCATTATGTTTTTTTATATTTCAACACTAGCTCAACCTCAAACAACCTTAATTTATCTTAATTTTAAATTGATCTATACAATAGTTCATATTAAATTAACATGAATTCTTAATAAAATGGCGTTTCAATCGTTGTGATTGGTCTTTTTGTGACGGAAGAAAATCTTTTAATTTCAAAACATTTCAATCAATAACACTTACATTATTCGACATACATATTTACTCTCCGGCTAGGACTACTGTTTATAAGGAAGAAGCCAACCGTAAAACGTTAAACATGAGATGATATTCATAGTCCATTTATATATATATATATATTAAAACTGTTTTAAATATAATATCTTAAGATGCTAATACAGTTCTCGGATTGACTTATGACATCTTAAGACTTTACTTAAGACAGTGTTAAGGGCTGCCGCAAACAAAATTTCTGTAACCTTAAGATGTGAACTTAAACAGATGAGCCAATCAGGATACTGCTTTAGATCTACTCTAACGGAAATAGAAATAGCAGTAAATTTATCCATAAGGCGAGTTTCAATCGGTTGAAATTCACCTTATTACGAGGTTATATGGATAAGTCCCTCCCTTTAATAAATAAAATAATTAAATTGTTATAATAATAAAAATTATTATTAAAGCTTTCACGAGGTTAAAAATTTTTTTACATTTTTATACAGTCCAGAACAATATAAAAATTTGTACTGAAATTCGAAGATCCAGATTGTGGACGAAGGGTGAAAAAAATGCCGGTAGAAAGTTAATAACAATTACGTTCGTTCGACAGTTCATTTGCACATACGCGAAAAGAGTCTCTTTCTTTCCGTTTCCAAAAATGTGTATATGTTCATGTTTGAAGTTGTGAAAATACGAAAAGAGAAAAAGGTAGAGAAAAAAACAATAGACGCATTTAGCCCATTTTGCGGAATATTAATTGATTTATAAAACTGACTGCCAGGTTATATTTTATTGTAGATGGAAAGAGACAATTCTAAATAATAAAAAAAGAAAAAGACTATATTTTTTGCTTCTATCGTATATGGAAGAATTCAGAGTCACCATTCTTTTTCCTACGTTCTGAATGCGCATACAAATGAGTAATTGAAATATAACCAGCGTAATGACTTAAACGATCCTTTTCCATTTAACCGTACGGAAGAGTATGCGTAAATTCCAATGCACGTCTCGGAACACGTGAAGCATCGTGTCGCCGTAAATGGCGGTATTCGCTGAAGTATTCCAAGTATCTCCCCGAGCCAGTGGAAGCAGTCGATCTCTTACGGTAGATCACGTTGGAATGTGCGCACGCGGCGATTTCCGATGTTGCAGTGTTAAGGGTCGAGCGCGCACTAATCGTCTTATTGGCTGATCCAACGTTCCCGTTTCTACCAAACGTCCCGTACAAAGCGATTCAGCGTAGGAAGTCGAGAAGTGTCGCGGTAGATACAAACACACGTATTCGCGTATGGACGGCGAGTGATGCGGGTGGCAGGATCGCCCGCGGGATGGAGAGAGAACGGCGAAGAGGTCGGTAGTTCACGTGCCAGAGAATCGCTAATAGCGCATCGTATCTTGCCTCAATGTATCCTGATACAACGCGCCGTAATACTAACCGCATACTAATAGGACCCTTTGACGAAAAGCTAACATCTCTCAGCGGGTAAACCGCGTTGCAATTCCGGTGGAGCCACTCCCAGCCTCCTCGCCGGCGCGGCGTGACGTGGTGGACCTCTTCCTCTGTCTCCACTGGCACCTATACGGTCATTCGGAATCGATTATCTGGAGTGGTCCACTCTCTTCAATGGATTCGTAATAGATTCTGCCAGCAACATAGTACAACAAACGAAGAACATCCGTCGTTCTCGAGCCGAAGATTGGCATTATGCTCGGATTTCGCGACAGGTAGCCGGCTATCATTCGCCGATCGCAGGGAATCAAGAAATTTTTATTGACACACTGAAAGAAAAGATTGGCCGCTGCAGCAAATTAGATGGTAAAATATGGCGTAGCATTTTTAATTGGTTACAACAGCCAATTTTTGGATGCTGCAGTCAATTGTTGGTTGTGTTAGCCTATTCGCAATGTCAGTATAGAATTTCGATTGGCTAACGCAACCAAAAATTGGTTGCTACAGCTAATTAAAAATGCTATACCATATTTAACCACGTCTTTGTTGCAGGAACCAATCTTTTCTTTCAGTGCAGTTTATAAACTTATATGAGAGGAGCAAAACCTACAGCATTTTTTTCCTAGGTTTTACTTCTCTCTTGTGTATAAGTTACTAAATCTTCGATTAAATCTTCGGAAAGTTATTAAGGTACACCTTATTGAAACCCGTTATTTACTTTTGAGAGTTCTAAACGTCGCAAGATCGATCGCCGCCGATTTGTCACGATTCGTACGTACAACTGTATTGGACTTCCTTTCCCGTTGAGTTCACAGCATCCAGACTAAGAAGGACCGATTACTTCTTTTTTAGTTAACGGCGAATGTCGCTATGTGCCAAGTAGCAATCGATTTGGAGGCTGTTAAGAGTCATGATTACTACGGCGAGAACGAACGTTGGAAGGACGCCGTGTTTCCGAGTCGTACGACACAAATGGATGGTAAAACGTTTCCGCCACCCGCGTAGGGAATCCTGACGAAGTCGAAGGGAGTGAGAGTAAGTACGGAAGCTGATGTAAAATATGCAAGATGGCCTATCGTGGATATTTCGTATGCGATTGAAAACTGTAGCAAGTTCTACTCGCTTCTGACTTGTTTGGTACCGAGCTCGAGAACACTCGGATATGCAAATTCCGGTGAATCCACTACGAGCATTCTCGACCGTTGCGTTTTTCATGTTACATCTCATTTCTTGTAGTTTCTTCAGGAGATGGACTTTATATTCTCTTATATATACTAATATTTTCCCCAAAATGTTCCTAAAGTCTGATCAGATTTATTGTGTATCTCTCTCTCTCTCTCTCTCTCTCTCTCTCTCTCTCTCTCTCGCATTTCTCTTTTCGATATTCTTGTATTTTTTTTAAAGCTTCTTGATAATATTCGAAAATTGATAATGAGTAATTCAGAAGATTTATATAATAAATTGTCTGTTTTTTAAT